TGTTCAAAACTCTTAAAGGGTTAACGTAAATCTGCTTGGTAATTTAGTTGTGGTTAGTGCATTGTAGGGTTGTTTAAAAGTTTTTCTCTGCTGCAAGTGCGGTTTGGAAATAACAGTGAAAAAGTGTGTAAAATTTAACCGTATTTCGTAAAACTTTCCCGTTGGTCAGAAAATCGCCGTTACAATGGCACCTCTAACCCACTTATTCGGTCTCACTTTAAGAACCGCTGTGGGTCAGTCGGTCTGATCGAGAGTGTCTGTGGGCACAGCTGGCACAGCTTGGGCTGAATGGGCTCCACCAAGCGGGGAAAACAAAATAATGACCTCTTCTCTGGCTTTTTTGCGCTTTATGGGCTCTCAACGCGGCCCCCAACCAGCACCGGAAAAAAACCATGCATTGCACGTATACTGTATAATTATGCGCAACCGTATAACATTATGATATACATGTGACAATGTAATACGCATCATTTTATAAATGGAGAAGCGGAGGAATGTGGTCTAAGCGGTTCACCAGGTTGTGCCTACCTGTGCGGGGCATACCACCTGTGCGGCATGGCTGAGCATCGTAAGTTGGCCAAGCTGTTTCTTACCTTGATTTCAGTTTCCGTTTAGCTTTCGTTCGTACGGCACGCTGTAATAAATTCAACCTGCGATCTGAACGCACAGTGATCTGGTACTTCTTGCTTTTGGTAATCATAATCGAGTGCTTCGGTCCCCGCATCGTTTTTCAACCTGAACAGTCGTTTGCTTCCTGGAAGCGGTGTATAAGCACTTCCAGTTGACTTGCTTTAAGAGTATCGGTTTTTATCCTGTCAGTCACAAGCAACAACACACGAAGAGAACAGCATGGACGTGTAGTCACCCGATGGTATACTCCAGCATGGAAAGACCATTGACGCCAAGGCCATGGGTATGGTTGTTGACTTGGACGACCGGGAACTGGATTGGCAGTTTGTGGAAACGGAACGGTCTTCCAGTGTTTGACGTCGACCGGTGGATCACCGAATAATCTCGATGCCGTCGTAAAAAATCAATAAAGACCTGACTTCCGGTTCCAAGTGGTCTGAGTGTTCGGACAGCACCGATGTGCCTCGATGCACAACATCTTCCGTCCAACGCTATTGTCAGCGCGGCAACGATTCCGGATCGGCCCGATTTGAAAATGCGCCGCTTGGGTGACGTCCTCAGCAGCCAGCGTGCTTGGGTGCGCGTGATGGCTGCAGGTGGAATATGGGCACCCGCTCTAGCACCAGCTCTCTTATCGGAGGCCTATCAAGAAGTGAAGCACGACAGCAGAATTGACATCATCGACGGAAAAGCTGTACTGAAAACGTTGCCCATGTATCGTGTGAACTTGGAATCGCTTAGAAATACGCCGTTATGCTGCGGGAATGTTTCTTTCGCCAGCACTGGTTCCTCTTATAACAGTACGAGACCGTCGAATGCTCGTGAAATCATGTTTGAAGATGGAACCACTCTTGGTGATGATTCTTAGAAACAGAGTGAAGTGCTCTCAACGCTGCTCCAGCCTACAACAACATTAAAGAAAACGCTAATTTGTCATGAAAAGATGGGCGTGGCTACTGGCACAGCCTCGCATCCAACTTTGCGCTGTTCTCACTTTTTATCACTCCAAGTCTCCAACAACCTTTTCAAATTTAATTCGAACACCGCCTTCTGTCTAATTTCAACGCTTTCGCACAGAAGTGTCGGCTATTTTCAGTTCTTTGTGACATTTTCATGGATCCTTTTTTCGTCTAATAAATGACTTAAATTGCAGATAATTATAGCCTTGCCATTTACACAGTTGAAGGGTAAAGGTAGCGTCAAGATAGTTTTGGGAGTAGCCATTATCCTAAAGAACGGCAGAAAATAGTAAATTTCAATTTCTAACTGTTGCCGCTCACACAAGTTAAATCGCTCAGAATTTGCGTTTACAAATAACTGCTTGCTTGCTTCGTTTCTGTGAAGTTTTTTTTTCTTTTTTTGCTGATGAACGGCTCTGCTGGACGTTGCGTCGCTGTATTGGTAAATTTGTGACCGAATCATAGCGAAGGTTTTTGTGTTCAACGCTTATGTAAATTTCGGTGTCTATGCGTCGGTCACTGCCACCAAATGCATATATTCACGATAAAGAATGTTTGGTACTGAATAGTGTGAATTTCTGGCTTGGATTATTCTGCTGGAAATTTTGAAAAGGTCACCAACTTACTTAAAAAATCAGCCTTCCTTTATGCCACGTATGTGAGAAGCTCTATACGGTCTACGGATGGTCTAGGGATATACGAGTATGTTGATTTAATCAAAACAGCCAATGGTAACGATTGCATGACTCGTCCTGCCAGCTTGCCAGAATCAGACCCAAGTCAGAATGTCGTACTCGTACTTGGGAAGTTCACATAAAAGCTCTGTGCAGGTTCGAATGTGGTGTCACATTTTCCATTAGTTTAAACTGGTACTACATTTGACCTGAATATCTCTGCCAGTTCTAAGTTCTGTACTGAAACTGCTGTACTGAAAGTTGTTAATAATATCCACTAATGTTCCTCAGTTCGTTCGTCATAAAACCCTAACAAGTATGCGATCCGGTACGGAAAACACTGCCAATTTAGTAACTATAGGAGGTGCAAACTGGAAGTATTATGTACTATCCAGGTCGTCAAAACAGTTTTCAAATCAGTACGACTTTTTGACTTGGGAGATTTGATACCTAGCAGAAAAGTGTGGTTGCGGAATTAAAATATATCATAATCAGCTATACTAAAATATATTATTACTGTACATCAAAAACGGCCACCACAAAATTTTTTGAAGCACAAGTTATAACGTTTATGCTAAACCATGTGGTACTGGATCAGTCATGAGGACTTTCGTAAGTGATGTTGTTTCGCGCATGTCACTATTTGCAACGTACATTCCCTTTTTGCATGAAATGATAATGAGATTGCTGTTCCAGTTAATCAGCATCATGAATTCAAGTCTTTAACACCACATACGATCGGCGGCCGCTCTTCTCCGCACCGCAGGATCATCTGTTGACTTATTGGAATTCCGTTTGGGTGGGCGTCAAGACAAATGCCAGCTGCCTGATCGTCAAAGTAGGACTCTAAAGACAGGATCATGAGTTGGTTGATAATGATCCTGATCCTTTGCGAGACAGCGTTTCCAACGAAATTTCCTCCGAAGCGGGTGCTTTGTCCAAGATTTATCCGCTGAAGCTTAAGTGGCTCCTGGTGGGGTACTCAACCAATGGTTCCAACGGAACGATTACAACCACCGGTTGGCAGCAATCCGCCGCCGGTCTCACTGGGTATTAGCTGTCCCACGGAAGCGGGGTGTGACGAAACATTGACTGCACTCCAAAACAATCCCAAAAAGCTAGCGTAACGTCTATTTCTTGCCTTTGCGCGAACCGCCCCGAGTGTTTGCTCAGCTCCGATGAGCATCGATACAAAACATCTTCCGTCCAACGCGATTATCTACGCCCATATGGAACGCCTTTCAACCGGACAGAACTACGTGTACATGCAACCCAGTGATTACGCCAATTTCACGAGAGCACTCGCTGCAACAGCCGTTGAGAAGATGTTGGGCAAAAACGAGTTCGTCCATGAGGACGAAATGGACAGATTGATCAGCGAAATGTCGGCAGGATCCCGTTTACTATTACCACAACCGATAACTTTACGGCGGATATGTGGGCGGCAACAATTCCGGTGACTGATCGGAGCGACATAAATTACGCCGACTGGATGACGTTCTCAGCCGGTGCGTGCGATGGGTGCTAACCGAGAATGGGATCCCATTCCTGCACCAGCTCCAATATGGCATGCCTATCTAGAGGCGAAGTATGATAGCACAATGGGCTTCGTTGACGGAAAAATTGTATTGAAAACGCTGCCCATGTATCGTGTGAATCAGGAAACGCTTTGTCAGAGTGCGTCCGTATGCAACGGACATGTTTCATTCTCGAGCACTAGCGCCGAATGTGCTGGTGCGCGACCGCGGAATAGCGACGGAATCGTGTTTGATGATGGAACCGTAAGATTGGACTAATCGGAGGAGTCTTTGAATTCGGTTGGAATTTTCCCAGAAAAATCAATGTCATCGAAGCTGATGTCATAGCTCACTTTGAATCTGCCGCTTTTAGAGTCCATCTTATTTTTGTTATTAATGTTCAGTCATTGGTTCAGATGACGGGTGTCATTTCATAATTATTCTAAACTTTTGTTGCGTTCATATTGTCTTCTAAGCAGATACATGCAATTCGAATAAATGTAATGCAATGCCCTTTCAACGCCACCGAACCTTTCAACAACAGCGCATGCAAGCGAAAGCACGACTTGCTATGAAAATTGCCAGTGGAGTAGGCCGACGGAAGTTTGTGTCGTCAAAACGGTGGCTAGCGCTGTGCCGGCAAAATCTTTTTGGGTTTTTTGCCATGCCGCAAACCAGTTTAGTTATTTAAAGACATGACCTTTAACCAGATCTAAAGAACTGCCAGTGAGTCCGCGCATATCTACCAGTGTGCGGACAAACTCTTTCCAGATTATATCTTCCAAGAAGTAGAGGCACTCATAATTAATTACTGTTAACAGCAGCAATGCCGGAATCGAACTTGTTTGCTTTTCGCTTTGGGGTGCCAAAAATGCAAGCTCGCTAGATATTCTACGAATATCTATAATGATGTATGTGGATTGTGGGAGGGATGATGAAAACAGCCGTTGGTAACGACAGTATGACTAGCCGTGCCAGCTTGCTGATTTAGCAAAAGCGTGCGGTTAAGGAACTAAAACCAGTTATCATCAATCAGAAGAACCCTCGAAGCACAATATGTGTCAGTCATAATCTCACATAGTAATGCATGTAATGCATGCACGTTCATGAATAGCATCAGGATGTGGAACTAATCTGCTCTGTAATAAAGTCATTGGGCTGTTACCGACACATCCGCGCCGTTATTTTGCCTAGAGCGTTCTCGGAATTTCAAGCCTAAATCAGCCTCTGTTAGACGCTGTACATAAGCGCAAACGTCGATATGTCGTTCTTTTTTGTGTCATCATTATAACTAAAGCTTTCGCACCGTTGTGTTCTCCGTAAAATGAGCCGCTTTCGGTACTCGGTACTACTCATTTCCCTGCTCGTTTATACAGTTGACTGTGGTGAGTATAATTATCTATCTATACATGACAAACCAGTGTATAAACTTACGAAGTTGTCATTGCAGATAGCGCAGTATCAGGGATAGACAACGCATCTTCCGCCCTCGGTACCACGCAGAACACGGACATTAGTAAAAGAACTTGCTCTAAGGTTTAATCGCATGAGATATTGGTTTCCTTGCATGCAACGTCCAAACGGTTTTTGCATCGCAGATAACACGGTTGCTGCATAAGGAAATCAGTATCTAATGAAAGTTAAATCACCACTAGCCACCAAACAACGTTTTACAAGACATGTAATGATCTTGCTTTCCAGGATCAGTAAACTCGACCCAGAGAACGTTTGAAGTCCCTTACAGGAGCATGCAAATTGAAGCCTTCAACACCACATCCGATAGGACACCGCTCTTCCACGCACCGTTGGCACGTCTGTTACGCCATTATTACGATTCCGCTGCAGTGAGCGTCGAGCCAAATACTGGTTGCCTGTTTGTTACTGTAAAACTCTCTAAACCGTACAATGACAAAGAAGAACCTGTGCGAGATTACGTTTCAAATGAAATTTCGTCCAGAGTGGGCCTTTTCTCCAAGATCTATCCGTTGAAGCTTAAATTTTTCCTGGTGGGGTACACGGCTTACGGCTCCAAGCAAACAATTACAACCACCGGATGGCAGCCCATGACCAGCTATTCACAGTCGGTTACCCTCACAATGAATATGTCTTGTCCAGGGGACGTGGCATGGAACGAAACGCTGTCCGCGTTGCAAAACGACCCTGCGAATTTTGCATCGCGTCTGTTTCTTGCCTTCGCACAAACCGCCCCGACAGTTCGCTCAGCACCGATGTGCATCGATACAAAACATCTCCCGTACGACGCGATTATCAACGCCTCTATGGAACGCCTTTCAACCGGACAGAACTACGTGTACATGCAACCCAGTGATTACACCAATTTCACGAAAACCCTCGTTGCAATAGCCGTTGAGAAGATGCTGGACAAAAACGAGTTCGTCGACGAAGACGAAATGGACAAATTGGTCAGCGAAGTGTCGGTCCTTTTTCCGTTTAGCACCACCACAAGCGACAACTTCACGGCGGAGATGTGGGCGGCAACGATTTCGGCGACCGAGCGGGCAGATATAAAGTTGCGCCGATTGGATGACGTTCTCAGCAGATACCGTACTTGGGTGAGCCTGATGGCTGCAGGTGGAAAATGGGCTCACTCTCTCGCACCAGATCTGTTATGGCGTGCCTTTACAGAGGTGAGGCAGGACAGCAGAATGGATGTCATCGACGGAAAAGCTGTACTGAAAGCGCTGCCCATGTATCGGGTGAATTTGGAAGTGCTCCGTCTAAATGCGCCGGTATGCATCGGGAATGTTTCATTCACGCGCATTAGTGCCGAATATACTGGTACGGCACCAGCGAATGTCGATGAAATCGTGTTGGATGATGGAAACACTCTGAAATGCTCTAATGGGAACGAATGGATTGTTGCGGATTTGAACAATTTCCGTTGCAGTACGTTCAAAACAAATTCGACCACCACTTTGTGATAATTTCAATGCTTTCGCACATCTGTGTTGGCTAGTCTCACCTCTTTGTGACAAGTTCATGGAGTTAGTCATTTACGAATAAAAATATTCAGGCTGCAAATAGTTATACCTTCACTACCAACACAGTAAAAGATCAAAGATTGCGTCAGGGTGGTGGGAATAGCTAGTTGCTAAAAAGCGGCATAAAATACTAAACTTCTGTTTATTACTTAGGCGCCAGTCCAAGTTGAACCACATACCGAAATACGCATATTAATACATTGCTTGGTGTTAAAGGCAGCGTGTGAAATTTACCGAAATACGTATATTAACGAAATAAGGTGTACCGAAATACGAACATTAATACATTGCTTGGTGTTAAGGGCACCGTGTGAAATTTTCAGCATGATGCTGACAACGTCTGGGCTAGACAGTGATTTGATTTGTGTGGGTGTCTATAGTATTTCTTTCCTTGATCTCTGCTAACAACTTGTGAACTCTTAAAAGGTTTGGCCTGGTACATTGCACCAAATTCGTGTACAAGCCAGACTACAAATTGAGCATAAACTAAAACAGCGAAAAAGTCAAAATCACGGCTCGGAAGATGCCTGGTTTCGCCTCTTATATGCTCAATTTGTGGACGCACTGACGGCTTCCTGATCGCCAGCAGCGCCAGAAATTTTTGAAATTTACGCGACCACGTTTAAGTTGTACAAAGGGAGGGTACGGCCTAGTTATATCGTATTTTGGTTCCGGCATCCATAGTCTGGCGCGATGCGCGAAACCAGCGAACGAGTTACCGCAAAAAACGCAAGAAAACTTTATATAAATCAAAAATTCGTAGCCGGACGTTTTTGCCTTAATGTAAATTCGTAGGCGGACGTTTTTGCCAGAGTGCAAATTCGTAGCCGGACGTTTCTGACTGAGTGTAAATTCGTAGCCGGACGTTTCTGCCTGAGTGTAAATTCGTAACAGGACGTTTTTGCCTTAATGTAAATTCGTAGGCGGACGTTTTTGCCTGAGTGTAAATTCGTAGCCGGACGTTTCTGCATGACTGTAAATTCGTAGGCGGACGTTTTTGCCTGAGTGTAAATTCGTAGCCGGACGTTTCTGCATGACTGTAAATTCGTAGCCGGACGTTTCTGCATGACTGTAAATTCGTAGCCGGACGTTTTTGCCTGAGTGCAAATTCGTAGCCGGACTTTTCTGCTTGTGTGTAAATTCGTATCCGGATTCTAAAAACTTGGGAATCAAGTAACTCAGTAGATCGTTTCGCAATATGAGTTCTCTTGCAAGCGCCTCTTGTGTGCTACCTGTGCAGGTCGACGATGACCTTCATGTGTACCTATGTAATTAGACAACTCACCCGTATGTCTGGGTCCTTTAATCAACAATATCACTATGCCCACTATAACAATGCTAATGCTATGCTAGCTATGCCAGGGGTGGCTCGCATTGGACTGATGTGGTGCTGTGGTGGAGGGGGCTTTATATATCGTCCCGGTCGAGTCCCGGTCGACGATCGCGTGCGGGGCTGGTGTAGGGAGGATCCAACGGCGGGGAGGCATTACAGCATAGTGATGTAATATGCCGTCAGCATGATGTAACATGACCGCGGGGAAATGTGCGCGGCATACCTGCACGCGCACTTCCGGTGACTAATGACGGAAGGATGGCGATGCGGGTCGACTAGTGACGATGTCCTCACAATCTGTTATTTTTATGATTGCAGATTCAAAATCAGCGCAATTGATTTCGACTAGAATATGTGGTGGAAACGGAAAACGCAACATTTCCCCTTGTGGGCTATTGCGACCGCCGAAGGAGGCGGTACCTTGTGGGGCACTGGACCCAACAGGAGCGGCATTTTATTTTTTAAGGTGGGGTAGATTTTTCTGGGTCAAAACAATTAGCTGATTCCGTATATGCAATCGGTTTATAGCGGAAATGGATTGGCGTGTGGGGCATTGTCAACAAATCCGGTACGAATACGAATTTACAGTCAGGCAGAAACGTCCGGCTACGAATTTAGTCATGCAGAATCATCCGGCTACGAATTTACACTCAGATTGAAACGTCCGGCTACGAATTTACACTAACTGGTCTTGTTGAAGATCAGAAAAGCCAAAAACAAACTGGGTGGGCAAAATTTACGGCGGACGTTTTAGACGGTTTAAGCGCTAAGACGTCCGCCGGCGTCCCAGACGTCCGGACGTTTTGGACGGTTACAGATGTAGCTGCGCCATTAGACGGTTGCCCATATTGTCCGGGAGCCCAGATAAGGGAGAATAAGCTAAAAGGAGCCAATATAAAGCAGTGATCGAAGTACAGGTATTCAAATGCAGGTAGTATTCAGCCCTGAAAATTAGAAAGTTCCGACGCTGTGAAATAGCACCTACAACGGGGGCTCAAGTGCTACGTAGTACGTACTGGACCTACTGTTGCAACGCTTAGTTCTAAGTAGCAATTTATCCTGGTTACTTAAAAAGCTCTCAAGCTTCTAAGTACATCAAAGAACATCTTAGTATCCAGTATTTCTGTGCCTAAATGCTGAGTAAATTAATAAACTTTAGCGCCTTACTGAGACGATACAGGTCAGGTAAGCATCATATGCTGCTACGCTAAACTGCTTAGCCATTGTTAATTTCTAGACACTTAAAACATTAATGTACATCACTACTACGTTAGCATCAGAGACACATGGCTTTGCCAGATTACGAAGACACCAGGGACACAAGCGACCACTGTGTAAACTATTATCTTAACGCGTTGTCCTACTAGTCAGTAATCGGTAACCCAAAACAGCGTTAGTGCCACTAAAATTCCAATTTCGAATTATTAGTTCTGAATTTCTAATTACTAAATTACATTAAAATTAGCTGCAGGCCCCCGGTGCTTGCAAGCAGACCTAGTGCATTTTCGTGTCCTTAAACTTGTGAAAATTCAGTACGCAGACGATTGCCAATCGGATTACTTTCTTCAATAGCAATTTCCCGACTCATATTGCTGTTTCGTGTTTTCCCCAGTGAACACATTAGCGTACACAACCGCCGGTCTTGCACCGCCGTGACCTTTTATTTGTTCCGCTCTACCACATTATCCAGGGAACAGAATACTGTTCTGTAAGCCCACACTTGAAGGAAATTTGTACGCTATGAACGACACAGTGCTGTATAACCGGATAAATGTTCAGCCGATTCACATTCTAACATGCACTAGCTGCAAGCCGTGTATGTGAATGGTAATGAGCTCGTACAAGCGCGCATGTGTAGCCGGCGGAAAGGTGGACGGGTGGACCAATCTGCCGACCTTCGGCAGATTGGTGGATGAGCCGTCTACCTTTATACCGGAATACATCCACCTTTTTCTAAAGGCCGTCCACCTTTCTGCCGAACCAACCCATGGGCGTTCATTGATCTGCAAATGACTCCGCTGATTGCATTCAGGCCCATAGTAAGATCAATGCATGCGTATATTGCTCCGGCAGAAGTCACTCAGATATTTCTATCACTCTATCTCACTCAGATATTATATCTATCACTCTATCTGAACATGTCATCCTACTCGCTTTTCTTCTTCGGTGTGATTTTGTTTTATTTCTAAAATTCAAAAAAAACCCTAGAGGTGGACGAGGAGCACGGTAGTTAAGTCGTCGATCAGCTAGTCCGCTGACCGTCTCCGCAAACGCAAAAGTGAAGACCAAATCCTTTCCTCTCATTCATTCATGGATACATCTACTCAGTCAATATCCCAAAAGGTATGAAAAACGTGTATAAGTTATTTGGTATACTGTCTGTGGCGAATAACAGAAACTAGGATTGCTTCTCTGCGGGAACCCCAATTGTGCTGGCTGTCTTTAGTTTATGGCAAGCTTATAGTAGGACGGCTTCCAAGCAAAACGTTTTCAAAACATGCTTGAGCACTCTCCAACAAAAATCCTCCGGGGCTTTGTATCGCCAGTCATCATTCCGGCTGCGTGATACGTCAGCTTTGCGAAAGGTTCATGCAAACAGATCGCTGCCTTAATCATTGCCTAACCGATAGCGATCCGCTTGCATACATGCGATCACGGTTAGCATCGAACGGACCCACCATCGTGAGAAAGATCGTATGTGATCCAACAATTTCCACCGCACCAACTCCGCATCTGGAAAACCCTGTAAGGGCGGTATCATGTCGCGTGTACGCAATGCACCAATGTCGCACCACAAAGTACTCGGAACTTCCGACTATTTTATATGGTGCGAAATTGGTGTGTTGCAGTCTGAACGAAATTCCTTTTCATGGACTGCTTGTTGACCGCGGCATTATTTTTATCTCATCATATTCCGGAGTTGTACACCGCCTGGAATTGCTCGTTTCAGATTGAATGCGGCTCGGAGTACGATACCTCAACGCGATCACCACTTTTAACAATTATTATTCTCTAGTAATAATTAATCCATCTTGGTGGTATCCACCTGATAGAGTACTCCAAGATGAATCAGTGGAGAAGGATTAAGTCTGCCAGCTCTGCAAATTCCTTAATGGATAAAACCGGGTACGATCAATCAGTCGCAAACTGGGACATATAAACGATCTTTTGGACAGATTAACTGTACTGCACAGTACTTCAGCCGAGGTGGGAGCTCACACAGATATATCGTAAATTTGACTGGATACTTGGCGCATCTACAGTACATTTTATGTTGCGTAGATGCGTAAGCGTACTGGTTTCAAACGACAAAGTTTTATTTGTGCACCGCATGGCGATTGTTGATTACCTACCGGTTTGTCATTAGCGTGATGGCTCTGCAGGGGCACATCGCAAAATCATTACTCCAATAGAA